CCCCCCTATAACTTTCATTTCCAATTATTTTTAATAAATAGCACAGATAAACAAATAACTTTTAAGAATACAGAATACATCAAAAATAGTTAAAAAGGTAACAATCGATACCAATATATTGAAGAGGAAAGATTTGTACTTTTGATTTTTGTATGTATTAAAATAACTCAAAAGCCACTGGACCGTTTTTATAAACTCTTTCTGACCGTTTTTATAAAAGCTAGTAAAGAATAAAAGAAAATATAAATAAATAAATGTGAATAACATTCACACATTCTCAGTCAAGCAAAATTAATTCAGATTCAGGTCTGTTCAAAACTAAAGATTGAAATATACCTCTCAAAATTTTGCTAGGAAATGCAAATATGAAGTTTATCTCGAAGAAGCTTGGGTATGCTAGCTTTAGGCACTTAATTAGTGCTTAATATTGGCATAATTTGGAGCTCTAAGTATCATAAAATCAGATATTCCAAAGTCATTAATAAAAAAATTGTGAGTGGTGATAATTTAAAAAGACGAATGTGTAAGTCTTTAAATTAATTGGATTATTTAACTATATCAATAATTTTAACAGTCAAGACAGAAAATTATTAAAAAAAAGAGCATAATCTTGTCTACTTTCCAATCGTAATAAAGCAAAGCCGTCCCATACCTTACAGAATCCCTCAACAGCCTTAGAGAAAACTCAAGCTTGGTAAAAATTTGCTTTCACGAAAGTGCCTATTCGTGTGAACTGATTCATAGAAGGGATTTCGTACATAAAACTTGATTGCTGACGCCTTCATTTACTGCTAACAAATTAAGTTGATTAGGTAGGGTCGTTACGCGTGTAGGCATCCCCTTTTTAGCTTAGGCACGTACAATAAACATTTTCATAACGATAACCACTTATAAGACTAATACATATGTAACGGCAATAACAATAAAATAATTAACTGACGGCTGAAAAGAGCAGAATTTTTCATTAATAACGGAAGACCAAGATATTAACTGCAGGGTAGTAATGGTTAGATTTGTTACAATGATCTTTTGTGGGCCTTATCAAGGTTCTGACTAGATAGGACTTTCTGTACGTTGCTACCAATCTTGAATCTGTTGTACATATTTAACAATTCTACAGGAAGGCTTTGTTACATGTAATAATATTCACATACTATGAATGTTGTAGTAATATAGAAATATTGGTAATCCTCGATTCGTCTAGGCAGAGATTAATAGAATGAATTAATGACGTAAAATCATAATTTATTTATGTAATAAAATGAACAGATGTAATCCTTAGTGTGCAATAAACAGATACATAATTTACGAGTTGTATCGTAAAACGTAGCGGTCCCTAAATGGTGATAAAGTTATTGCGTCTCGGGTTCATAGCAGAACATTTTCGTGGCGCTCGTAAATTTCGGATAACGGTGAAAAGCAAAATGTTAGATGTGAGAAATGATACCGCCTTGTCAGATTAACAGGATTTATTCTCAGGATGCTCGAGGTAAGTACATAATGTAAGACGACAGAAAGTAGGTTTGTAGATCGTTTTTTTTTTCGTTGTGCTGGTAAACAAATATAAAAAAAACTCAACTATAACATTTGTAATATAGACCACTAAGGGCTTGTCGCTATGTGATGGAAATATCGGATTTTGTTTTTAAGCTATCTGAGCCTCTATCAGCCAGTGGTGGGACAGGCCCAAAATGATATAAAACAGTGTATCTGTACTTTGCAAGAAGTTTCGATCCGCTAAATGATACAGATATACATATAAGAACATTTCGGAATAAATATCACCAAATAAAGTATAATATAAAATACTTTATTTTATTATAATTTTGTTGAAATGCGAGGTATCGTGGGAAAAATGTATAATTTACTTTTTATACGATAAGGGGCAAACGAGCAAGGTTTCCATTTTGTCAGACAAATTGAATATAGTAGGAGGTGGAAACTTCCATTAATCTCGTAGAAAATTGATGTCCTTCCTGTCTCGCGTTTCGTAGGAACATCGCGATAGCGGCCGTAAAATATAGTAAACCCGTTTCCGTGCAAACATTGAAAATTATACTCGAGTCTTTGGGCTTACGGGCATAACGAAATCTAGTTATGAAAAAGAACATAAGAAGAGTATATATATATTTTTTTTTTTTTTTTTTTTTTTTTTTTTTTTTTTTTTTTTTTTTTT